CAGCAGAAATAGCTCACCTTTTTCAGTTTCTCGGGGTAGGAAATCAAATAAAGGATCGCAGCAGCAAAGAGAATAACGGAAGATAAAAGAATGGGAGAAAAACATCGCCTCATCACTCGGCGATAAGCTGATTGTGTGTGGGTCCTAGAGCGAGAACTCTATCTCTATAGTCTCGACACTCGACTGATGTGACATCAATCGAGAGGCGGGAAAGCAAATCAAGACAGCAACACGGCTTCCACTATGCCCTGACCGCCGAGATTTTGGGAGCGAGAGGAACCCTTTTACCACGCATGGGGGCCATTGAGTATTCCCAAGGGTAGAATTCAGTAACCATTTTTATTGTGAACCGTGCCTTTAAACTGTAATCACAAAACGGCTGTAGACCACCTCGGGGATAGGGACTTTTGGAATTCAAGTTCGAGCAGCAATGACGCTATAAAGTGAGATGAATGAACCAGTTGATTCGAGGAAAGCGGATATAAATATTAGACCCTATCAAATGAGAATTCCCAGGACTACATCAAAGAGCAGTATCCAAAGGCTGAAGGCAGAGTGAAGAATAATTTTCGGCTATCTGGTTTCAGAAGGATAATGGATGTGATTTTCCAGACTGAGGAAAGAAACGGTTTAGAAAATGGCGAAGAACTGGCGACCATCGGCAAATTCAGAGAAATATAAGGCTTTGAAAAAGTAGTAAAATTATAGGATGGGCGAGAATGTAGCGACAAGTGTTGCATGAAAAGAGTATTTAGACAAGCTGCCCAAATCTGTGTGCTATTGCGTATGGTTGGCTACAGTAAGCTGCCTGCGCACATACGTCTCAATTGGAATGGTGCAAACTCTACAGCCTCTAGAACTGTAAGAACTCGTCGAATTAGCGTAACAAGGCAAGTGGTACATTCAACCATAAGGCTCTTTCGAGAGTTGGGAACAATCGCAAATAGGAGTGGTAAAGCTAACAGGGCTTTGGTTATATTTAGGGAGAATGTTAAGGAAGCAGGGCGAAGGTCTGTGTAGCAGCGAATTCGCTCCAAATGGCTAAATGTATGGATATCTCATGAAGTTTCTTGCGCAAAATCGTGAGCCATCATCTGTACAACAAGGTCTTTATACGAAGAGAAAGTGATTTCTCCAGCGAGCAGGACAAAGAGAAGAGAAAAGTTGACTCACAAAAGATGCCCTGTCGTTTTCGAAAATCGTCGTACGGAATTCCTGTTCACTAATGAAAAGATATTCACGGCTAAAATGGTGCTCAAGAAGCAGTGTGACAAGATTTGCATGAAGCTGAAAGAAGTAGAAGTGATGCAGCACTACCCTCATTGGTTTTCTGCGATGACCTTTACGAGCTCAAACGGCGAGGCAAAAACACATTATTTTTGTAGATTAAGGAATGTAAGTTGATTTAGAGGCCTGTTCGATTTCTTCGTGTGCAAAAGAACACTTTGCGACTCGAACCAGACATATTGTCAAGGTGAAGCTCCTGACCGCAGATCAGAAATTGTCTAGAAATTTCGTAAAAGGAGTTCCCTGACTTCATAACCGTCAATCAGTGACCACTCTGGCGCACTTACCTAAATCCCATGGATATCTCAGTTTGGTCAGCCTTTGAGTGAAGGCATCCGTCAGACCAAAAAAGAAGTGAAATAATCTCGAAAATGCCTAACAAAAAGCCGGGATCAACTCGATGACCTTAGCTGCGTGCCACGTCAATGTCGTCCATTGTGTCTCTTGGGTTGGGTGAAAGCAGAAAGCAAGAGATGCCAGTTTCAATGTACTATTTTGACAAGAGATTAGTGATAAACACTTTTTTCAAATTGACTTGCTTTATTGGCTTTCTATTCGCTTTCGGGGATGTGATGTTTGTGTAACCATAACTTCGGCCCACCCTGTAAACTGTGCCTTTCACTCATCTAATCGAGTCTCGGCTGAGACTCGAGGCTTGAGACAAAAATAAAAATAATGGATGGATGGTATACTTGTCAAACGATCGAGTGTTTTTTTGAAAAGGTCTTCAACTCCTTGAAATCCTACTATATATAACGCGCTAAGTGTGTCTGTTGGTTGTGTGTGTGTGTGTGTATGTGTATGTGTGTATGTGTATGTGTATGTGTATGTGTATGTGTATGTGTATGTGTATGTGTATGTG